AATGTGATTGCCCTGTAGAGGGTGCAGAGGAGATTCACCAGGATGTTGCCTAAAATGGAAAGTCTCAGTTATGAGGAGAGACTGGATAGACTGGGTTTATTTTCTCTGGAGCAGAGGAGGCTGAGTGGGGAATCTGACTGAGGAGACAAAATTTATGATAGGCATAGACAGGGGAGATTGTGAGAATTTCTTCCCTGTGGCAGATGTGTCTTAAGCCCAGCAGACATAAGTTTAAGGTGAGGAGTAAGTGGTTTAGAGGAGATCTGAGAAGGATTTTTCTTTACTCAGAGGCTGATAGATATATGGAAGGTGCGGCATGAGAAGGTGGCGGAGGCAGATATTCACAACTATTTAAAAAACATCTGGATGAGCACTTAAAATTCCAGGGCATAGCATGGTAGGCTATGGACCAAGTGCAGGTAAATGGGATTAGTGCAGTTTGGTGTTTGTTGGTCAACATGGATATAATGGACTGAAGGGCCTGTTTCCATTCTGAATGACTATGTTTTGTTTGGACCATTAGCTGATGAAGCATTTCCCCAGTCTTTTCCTACTCCTGTGTTTTGTGAGGTTACACACACTGGCCTGATGCTGTGGGCTAGAAGATACAGAGGTGCAAAAAGAAACTCTGAAATGTGCTCTGGTGTTCACCAATTCCGGTCGTCATTCCCATTTCTTTCAGCGTCAAGCAGAGCCCTGCCTACTAACAGTTACACATTCAAGGCATATCCATTAAAAGTGCACAAAGCAAACCGATAGATAAATCCATAAATAACTAAAAGTAGGGAGAAGCCATCTCCTTTGGCAGGTGAATGGTAAACAGTGATAGATTTAAAGTAATTTCCAAATGTGCTAAAGGGGAAATGTGAAATTTCTTCAGAAAGAAGGTGGTTATGATCTGGAAGTCACTACCTGAAAGAGTGGAAGTATCGGATTCCACAGGAAGTTTCAAACAACAGTTGGACACGTACTTGAAAACTAATTTGCAAGCTCATGGGTAAAAAACTGGCAATGGGACTAGCAGCATCTGTGCAGAGAGAAACAGAGTTCAGTGGGAGAATCAAACCAGGCTCAAAACGTTAACTCTGTTTTAACATTTTGAGCCTGGTTTGATTCTCCTACAGAACTCTGTTTCTCTTGCACAGATGCTGCTAGAAAAGTTTCTCCAGCACGTTCTGTGTTTGTTTCAGATTTCCAGCATCTGCAGTATTTAACGTTTATATGGCTATGGAACTAAATTGGTCAGTAGTTGCTGTAAAGTTCCTTAGCGAATGCAATGCGGAATCATCCTTTCACGTCTAAAATCTGTGTTTACATCCAAGCCAAAATAATCTGTCTTTTTTTATGAAGGAAGATTTGAGCACTAGAATTGTTGTTCTCAGTGAATTAAAGTCCAGAATGTTTCTGCTGTGGTGATTCACAATCATTATTTAAAAATTGGAATCTGGATGTCATTTGCCACATAAGCTAATGAGAATAATGACCTGAGCATTGTCCAATGAACGGAGATGTTTTTGAGCTATGCCCAGTTTCTATGGCAGCTTTACAGGTCTAGTGAGAGGAACACAACAGCTGATCAGGTAGCCGTCCTTGCTGTGGAGCTTGGCCAATATGAAAAAGTTTAAGAAATTCCTGCAAGTCTCAGGGGCAAAGAAAAAAGGCACAGCTGCCAAAGAAAGGTTTGCAGACCACCCACTGCCAGCTGCAGGCAAGAGTGTGACTCATCACAAGCTTTTTACACAGGAACTAGTGCAGGAAAACGACTGAGAAATATAAAATCTACAGCAATAAAATTGTTTCTCCTCTCAGTCACTGGGTACAGCTTTCTGCTTTAAACCTGGACCCTCAGTCAGGTGTAGTTAAATATTGCTTATTTAATAATGGTTATTAAGTCACTTGCATCAGTACATACTCCCTCCTGCTCAGTTTCAAATTGTTCATGTATTGAGACTGTGTGGGCTATCAGGATCTCTCTTCCTGCTAATAACTGTTGGGAGTTGATGTATTTGAAGACTTGTAGTTACACTGTAATTCCCTATAAAATTTCAATCTCCTTTTTTGAAGTAAGATTTCCCTCCAATGTATCCTCTTCCTTAATTGATTTTGTTCATCGTACGGCAAGGCATGGCTCTGATATTTCCTTTCATATGGACAATAGTTGCACTGTGCTCTATACTCACCAAGTAGCAAGTACGCAATCCATCGGCTGTGCGTTGATCAGCTGGAAAGTATACAGTTGTCCCCTCAGTGCAATGTACCAAAGTATGTCCAGAATCTGCTTTACTTCATATCTAGTGGCGTTCTCTCACACACGCAGTCTTCATAACAATGCCCTGTGGTAACACCAGTGCTCATTACAACACCGATACCTACATCCTCTCCTGGCATCTACGCTTGTGCCCATGTCCTGCACCATCAGCTATAAGCACGAGCAAAATTCCTTCTCTAGTTTCCACCCATTCGCCTTTTTGTAGGGAAGGGAAACAGATTATTCCAGGTTCTTCCTTCTTGGTCTGTACCTGCTGATATCTGCTATAAGATTTGAGTTGGCAGGAACAGTCAGATAGCCTGCTGACATACAAAGTAAGAGCAGAAGTTGACCATTACCTGTAGATAACCCTTGACTTTTCTTGAATCTATCCATCTCTGTCTTAAAAATGTTCAATGTCACATCTCCATTGAGTATGGTCAAAATCTCACAACCCTCTAAGAAACAAGTCCAGCCTGTCCAACATTACCTCATACGACTCACTCATTGTCACACACTGTCCCATAGTCAACTGGTTTAGCTGTGTTTTAAGGAAGTTTGTGGAATGATGAGGTTTATTTACTGCTAATGCCCATGATGAAGAGACTGATTTCAAACTGAGCTGAAATATCCAGTCTGAAACTCGGATTTAACAGCCGCTAGACTTCAGGACCAATATTCTAGACAAAAGCCATTCCCTCTAATGGGAGGCACCTGGATTCCACTGGGGACAACTAGCACCACCTTGTAGTGTACATTTTAATTTCTTATTTGCATTGTTCATCAACTCCGGCCTCTGTAAATTTGGTTGCTTGTGGTCTGTCTGGCCCTTGCCCTGGTGCCCTCTCATCTTTCTAAATTGGCACATGGGTCTCAGTGTTTGAAATTTAGAATGATCATTCCTGGCTTTAAATTATTTCATGCACTACTGCTTCCTATTTCTGATGCCATACAACCCCTTCGCATCCACTCTCCACCCCACTTGAAGAAGTTTGTCCTCTGGTTCTTGCCTTTTGTGCGCTTCAAACACCCCCACTCTGCCCCATGTCTCGTTGTCTGGATTTTTTTCTTAAACCCTCTCACCTGGCATCAAGGAGCCCTAGCAAAACTGGAATCAATGGGTATTAGGGGGCAAAAGCTCCAGTGGTTGGAGTCATATCTGACACATAGAAAGATGGTCTTGGTTGCTGGAGGTCAATCATCTCAGCTCCAGGACATCTCTGCAGGAGTTCCTCAGGATAGTGTCCTAGGCCCAACCATCTTCAGCTGCTTCATCAATGACCTTCCCTCCATCATAAGGTCAGAAGTGGGGATGCTCACCAATGATGGTACAATGTTCACCATTCGCGACTCCTCGGATACTGAAGCAGTCCACGTTCAAATGTAACAAGATCTGGACAATATCCAGGCTTGGGCTGACAAGTGGCAAGTAACATTCTCACCACACAAATGCCAGGCTATGACCATCACCAATAAGAGACAATCTAACCACTACCCCTTGTCATTTCAACAGTGTTACCATCACTGAATCTTCTGCTATCAACATCCTGGAGGTTACCATTGACCAGGAACTCAACCAGTCTCACCACATTAACACAGCAGTTACAAGAGCAGGTCAGAAGTTAGGAATGCTGCAGCGAGTAACTCTCCTCCTGACTCCTCAAAGCCTGTCCACCATCTACAAGGCACAAGTCAGGAGTGTGATGGAATACTCCCCACTTGCCTGGATGGGTGCAGCCCCAACAACACTCAAGAAGCTTGACACCATCCAGGACAAAGCAGCCCGCTTGATTGGCACTACATCCACAAACATCCCACTCCCCCAACCACCGACTCTCAGTAGCAGCAGTGTGTACCATCTACAAGATGCACTGCAGAAATTCACCAAAGATCCTCAGACAGCACCTTCCAAACCCACGACCACCTCCATCGAGAAGGACAAGGGCAGCAGATACATGGGGAACACCACCACTTTCAAGTTCCCCTCCAAGCCACTCACCATCCTGACTTGGAAATATATCGCCGTTCCTTCACTGTCACTGAGTCAAAATGCTGGAATTCCCTCCCTAATGGCAGTATGGGTCAACCCACGGCAGGTGGACTGCAGCGGTTCAAGAAGGCAGCTCACCACTGCCTTCTCAAGGGGCAACTAGGGACTGACAGCAAGCAACACTCACATCCCGCAGATGAATTTTACAAAAAGCCTCTATCGTCTTTTCACGGTACTCATTCCAGCCCAGCTTTTGGACTAGGTTTTTGTGGTGGCTCTTCCCCAGTCATTCTTCCTTTGGCTTGATGCCTTTTTTCCTCTACCCTTCTCTGATATGTCAAAAGCCATTTTACATTGAAGGTCCTTTATAAATACACCTTCATTTCATTGAAAGATAAAACACCTGAGATCCCTATGGCTGTGACCTGATACCCGTCAGCACCATAAGGTAGGGGAGAAATTAAGGGTAATAGCTTCAAATGATTTACAGCTGGGTACACTGGGGGTTGGCTTGATTGGTCTGAATTGGTGAAAGTTCTGTCACAAATATTCTGGCCACATTCATCACAACTCACTGACCCACATGCAGTCTGCTGGAAGAAAATGTTATGTTCTTTAGAAAGGAAGGAGAGAATCTCTGATGGATTAAATAGGCATGGGAACTGGTTGGAAAGTATTAGAAGGGCATGAGGAGCTTTTATTTTACTACCTGTGGTGTGTGAAGCTGCTGAATCCTGATCTGTTTTTACTTTTCTCTGACAGGGTAATAATGATGACTTGATTCTCTCGTGCTGCCTTCATTACTGTAAGGATAAGGCTAAGGACTTCATGCCAGTGCACAAAGGTATCTGAGCTTTCCCTTGTTTACAGGGACATGTCCGAGCTGTTGTGATTCGGTTGAGAGAATGATCACATCTATATGTGAATGCCAATTTCTCCCTGTATATGGAACAGTGATTGTGTTGGGTATCTATATATCACAGAACAGTAGACTAGGAACAAATGTGTCACTGCTCATTCTTTCCTATCTCACAAACCTGGATTAAACATTAGAGGGGGGAGAGGGAGAGTGCAGCAATTATCTGATATCATCCATAGCCCAGCAATATCCCCCTCAGATCTTACCTGGAAGGTTTTGGGTTCACATCGTATAAAGTATGGAAGTCAAACTTGGGCACATAATCCAGGTTTGACATTCCCAGTGTAATTCTGAGCAAGCGTTACACTATCAGAGATCCTGTCTTTCAGATTAAACTTTAAACTGAGGATCTGCTTGCTTTGTCAGGTACATGTAAAAGATCACACACCACTTTTTGAAACCGTGCAGTGACGTTCTCCCCATTGTTTTGGGCCAGTGTTGATTCCTTAACCAACACGATCTGGTCATTATCACATTACTACTTGTGCAGAAATTGGCTGCTGTGTTTCCTGTATTACAGCAACATTTCAAAAATACTTCATTGCCAATAAAATAGTTTGGGAAATCCTGAGGTTATAAAAAGCACTATTGAAATTATAGAGTTCATAGAGTCCCTACAGTGTGGAAACAGGCCATTTGGCCCAGCAAGTCCACAACGCCCCTCCAAAGAGCATCCCACCCTGACCCATTCTCCTACCCCTGCATTTCCCATGTCTAACCCACCTAACCTAAACATCCCTGGACACTACGGGCAATTTAGCATGGCCAATCCACCCTAACCTACACATCTTTGGACTGTGGGAGGAAACCGGAGCACCCAGGGTAAACCCACGCAGACACGGGGAGAATGTGCAAACTCCACACAGACAGTAACCCGAGGGTGGAATCGAACCTGGGTCCCTGGCGCTGTGAGGCAGCAGTGCTAACCACTGAGCCACTGTGCCGCCCATCATTTCCATCTTTTCTTTTATCTGTCAAATTTGCGGTGTTGTTGAACAAGGAGAATGTACCGGACCATATTCGTCATGCTGCCAGTGAACTAAAATTGCCTGTGTGAGGCCACCCAGATTTCTATCTGGAAATGACAAAGAATTGTGTAGATTAGTTCTCAGTGCCGTGATTTAATCTTTTTGCATACTGAGACACAGTTGAGAAATGTTGCCTCTGTAGTAAGAGGTATTGCTGAAGCTTACATTTGAAAGGATCCCTGAGTCACACTTCATTATTTTGGTTGTTCCCCAACTCTCCCTGTATAGATGCAGCTAAAAGCAGGATATGGCAAAGTGGAAATTGGGTTGTCAGACCTGCTGCACAATTTCTTATTGGTGATGAAAACAAACAATGGATTTTTTCTTTAATTTTGTCTAATATTTATTGTTTTTCTTGAAGTGACAAGGTATTTTCTTGCCAGAAACAGCAATATGTTTGTTAGCTGAGAATGTGCTGAGTAATATTTGACCACTGACTAGAATAAAGGTGACACTTGTGCCCCCTTCCCACCCCATATCAGATCAAGAACTTCGTATTGTCAGATTTGTGAAGTCGCAGTGTCTGACATGAGCATATTTCTGTAAACTAGCATGAGGTGTTAGAACCATTTCAGTTATTACAGAGTGTAATCCAGCATGTTTGACACTTGGCTGACATCAGTCTGAGAAAGTTCAGGAATTAGTGCACAGGTGACAGTCGTGGATTGAATAATTTGGCAAATTTTATTATCTACACTACTTAAGGTAACTTGGTACACAGAGTATGGTCCAAGGAAGAGCTGAATAATTCTTGCTCAAGGTGTGGATCTGGATTCAGATGCATTTGTTAACATAAGGTCATAGAACGGGGGCAGCACAGTGGCTCAGTGGTTAGCACTGCTGCCTCACTGTGCCAGAGACTGGGGTTCATTTCCAGCCTCAGGTCACTGCGTGGAGTTTTCACATTCTCCCTGTGTGTGCATGGGTTTCCTCCCACAGTCCAAAGATGTTCCGATTAGGTGGATTGGCCATGTTAAATTGCCCGTGCTGTTTAGGGATGTGTAGGTTAGGTGGATTAATCGTGGGAAATGTATGAGTATAGGGATAGGGATAGGGTAGAGGGGTGAGTCTGTGTGGACTTGTTGGGCCGAATGGACTGTTTCCACACCATGGAGATTCTGTGGAAAAAATATGAATTGACTTTATGTAGGATATTGTGGGATGATTGATTTTGATTATTGTTAATTGATTTGGAATGTTATTGTCTCAGCTGCTGTGTTGTAATTTGTCAGAGCTGTAAAAACGTGAGCAGAGCTTTCAGAGCATCTTGTTAGTAATGAATTAACCTGGAGCCGCCTCAATGAAATGAAGATTTTTACTGAGCTTTGCAGTTCGAGCTAACAGAACTGCATGATTATAATAATGTTAACACAGCAAGATGAGGATGCCCTCTTCACTTCTAAATATTGTTCTTACCGTTAACTATTGATTTTTCCGTCTGTTCACAGTCCCACTGATTTGTGCACACCTTCAAAGGCAGCGTGTAAGCAAACACTGCTGTAGAAAAGTTTCTGAAATTGATGTACAGATAATTAGCATGATGTCTTGTTCTTGTTGCTTGAACCATTTGTCATTGAGCAGTGCAGGACTCTAACACCAAGTGAAAGTAATATCTACAAAAACCTTACATGATATAATTAATCAAACAGCCTTGTGTCATAGCTCATTTGATTTTATGTTGTGTAAAGATGCATCCCTTACAACATAGTTTGTTTAGCTTGCAGGTGTTTGAAATATGTTTGCAGGGTAACACTGAGCATACGCCACATTGACACTGTATGATGTACAGGCTACGTTTATTGTCTGTTTTAGCCTTACCAGACAGGCTGCATTTTGTGGGGAGTATGTCCAGAATGGGTAGCTGACCCTGAGACTCCTTTTCTTTTTCTCCAGATGAGCCCATTCGCCTGCACCGTGATGTTGTATTGCTGACAGATGACCGGAATATGAGGGTAAAAGCTTTGACTCACAATGTGCCTGTTAGAGCCATCCCTGTCTTTCTGAAGTGGGCCAAGGTGGGATGAAGAAATGGAGCCAGGAAAAACTCTCATCCTCTGGATTCCAGTGAAAATCGTCGAGAGCCCCAGAGCTCGACCATGGCAACCCACCCCTCCATTAAAAAGCTAACATTAAGAGATGACGAGAATCAATATGCAGTAGAAGATTGTGATTGGTTACCAAGAAAAAAAACAAGTAAGCTGAAGAGGCAGGTCTTGAGATGAGACTTTTGATGGGTCTTTTCAGGAGCAAGTTGGTCATGGTGGGTTAATAGAGTAATATGAGAGGTGAACATCCAGATGCAGGTTGGTGAGAGGAAGCCTTCTTAACCAGCGGAAGGAAAGGACACCTTCCCTGGGGGGAGGGTTCTTTGAATAATACGTGGATTGTTTTGTGATGGAGATGGAATAATCCACTCTGCTTTGCTCAGCACGTCTGTAAACCCCACCGTCACCCTGAATCTTCCTCATATCAGAGGCAGAAAGGAGAGAGGGGAGTAAGCTTTGATGATTTGATTCGCTGCTGGTTCTGTGGTGTCATTTATTTGGCAGGAGGAATTTCACACAAAGAGAGAAGAGTTAAAATAATTTACAATAAATTGAACCTGACATGGCCTTGAAAAAAAGACCTCTGTAAGGTTAGCCTAAATTCAAGGCAGCTTTTAAAGGGTCATGTTGAGGGTCACAGTCACAGTATTGCAGATAAAGCTGGCTTTTAATTGGCCTTGTATAAAAGGATTCCTGGCACCAGCCTATCGTCAGGTTGATAATGTGTTCTTAGTCCACTGGGTCATTGCATGATGGAGATTGTAGAGTTACCAGATTAAAACGGAGGGATGTTTTATTGAACTGCGGTTTACTATTTCCCTACGTAGTAGACTATAATCTGGTGAGTCAAACACAAGGCAATGAGTGTGCTACAGTAGCAACTCCAGTGTGAGCTGGTTACATACAGCTGCCCTTTCACAAGCTGCTCGATGCCCAAGACCTTTGGCATTTGGGGGAAGTTGGAGATAATTCAGTTCAAGGAGGGCCAGAGAGGGGTTCTGTTACACTGCGGGCCAATGATTGAGATATCTGGTGCCTCCTAATCCCTGGTCCCTGCCAAGCTATCAAGTAGCTAGGACAGCTACTCAGCTTTGTGAAGTTAAAACATGCAGGGCTCAGTAATATTTCAGCTGAGAAAGTCCGTACCTGGTTCTGTGGTTTCGGCCCCTTTTATGAAGCAAAGCAATTTCAAAAATTGGTTTATTTTAGACTTGTTTTCATTGCTTTTTTTTTAAAGAAAATAGACTTAGATGTTTAGATTTGGTTACAGGTGGCCAGGTATCTGGATTTGGTTTTATTTACTGTTGAGTGGACTTTATAGAATAGTGGAAACTTTTGGTTTTAGTGCAATGGGAGTGAGTTCCGTTTAATTTAGCAGGTGTGTATGTGTGTGAATAAAATAATTTAGCATGTTATGTAGATCTGCAGTATCTAGCCAGTTAGTTTGGTAGCAGATAGCCTTTGTCCAGTGCTGCAACCAGCTGAGGGCAACTCTCTTCCCTGTAACGTCAAAACATTGTCATGTAGAAGAGAGTTGTAGTGACTTAGCAACTCCTGTAACTACCAGTCCAATAAAAAAGAGATGAAAAGACATGTCTATAACCTTTTAATTGCTATTTGGTGTTTTTATAGAAACAAGTTTCACGGTGAAAATTTTTTGTTTGCTCATTTACAAAAATACAATTATAGAAACATTATCCCACCGAAGCACTTTATACAGACTGATTGGAAATATAAACAGTACAAATACATGCAATAAATACATTCATTTTAATGCAAAAAATTATAAAAATACTGTTTTCTTGTATTGCAACATTATGTGAATTGTATTTTGGCTTTTTAAAACTTCTTTTTTTTAAAAAAAAGACCATTTGGGTGCGAGTCTATACAGACCAACTTTGGTTGCATTGAATTTCCAGCAGAGTGTCTCAGGGACACAATTGATGACACTGTGCATACATTTCCCCCACCCGCTTCAATAGGACCATACAAAATAGGCAATCTTTACAAATCCCTGCAAAAAACATGAAGGTAACATTACTGGCAAGTTGCATCTCATGCTAAAATACTGCACTTAATAAGTGGCGCCCAAATTCTCCAAACTTATCTGGTTTATTTTGAGGAACTAACTTCTTACCCGTTCCACCGTCTGATCTCTGCAAACTTCCAGATGGTTTGTCAAGTACGATCTCACTTTATAAACTTTCTCTTGTTCCGTTTAATGCATCAGCAAAATTTATTTTCAATTCACCAAGCCCTGTGTCTGATTTCCAGCTCAGTTTCTGTCTTTAAAAGTGAGAGATCCGTCCATTTAAATCTCACTGGGACTGAATCCGAATCGGAGACTGCGCCATTCAACTGAAACATGCTGATGAAGTGAGTAACTCCTCTGTCAGCTCACTTGTGATTGTCTCGGTTACAGTGTTCAGAGTTTGAACAGTTTGAACGGTGTTCCATTTGCTGATTTGTGTTTGGAATGAAATATGTACAGAGCCTCTAGGTAGGTGAGGTGGGTACCTGGGGACTGGGCTCCTGGAGAAGTAGGTGATGGGGTGGGATGCCAAAACCAAACTGGCTGGGCAAGTGGCTCGGATTAATGCAATGTGTGAATGTAAGAGCAAGTGAAAATGGTGGGATAAGGGTTAGGAGACAGACATCAATATCACAAACAATTAGAATAGAATAACTGATGAAAGCAGTTGAAATAAACTACCCCTCGTGCCGAGAGCTCAGTGGCTTTGGTTTAAACTGCTTTGGACAGGAAGCTGGTTAAAAGAGACAAGGAGTGGTAGCTCTCAGTTTTTCATTGGTTCAAACCTTGAAAGGGATCTCAGCATGTCCCTCTGCTAGTGGTTGCTCCCCATTTCTGGATGAGTTTCACAGTGAGTGAGATACAATCCCCTTACAACCCCCAGTCCTCCTGCTTCCAAACCCCTCACAGTAACTGACCCCCTCCCAGGGGAAGTGTCTAACTGGGGTGGGAAGGGTAGAGAAGGGGGGAGTAGTTTGTGAAAGTGGCTTAGGGGAGAGAGGAGCCTGGAACCTCCCAGGATTTGGATTCAGTGACCTCAGATTCCAGGCTGGGAAGAGAACACACAGTGGCCATTCCTGGGTGAATGTGCCCACACTCTCCAGTCTGAGTCAACTCTGTAACCCCCTCCTTGCTCCCAAATCAATGGGTAGGTCCTGAGCCAGGGCCAGGGGGTAGGAGGAGTGCAGGGTCTTGCAGTGAGGCTGGTGGTGGGAGGTCAGGCACTTTGTCCTGGTGACTGGCACCCACTTTGAGGGGGTAGAGCGTGTCACCCAGCTCCAGCCTGGCCTTGCAGTCTCCTGTGTGCATCTTCATATGGCTGATGAGGTTCCTTTGCTGGGCAAACTTCCCCCCACAGATCTGACACTCGTACGGTTTCTCCCCAGAGTGGATCCTCATGTGCTCAGTGAGGCGGTACTGGCGGGTGAAGCGCATGCCACATGCTTCACAGGCAAATGGCTTGAGGCCCAGGTGGCTCCTCATGTGGCGGGTCATGGTGCCCCTCTGGGTAAACTTCTTGCCGCAGATACTGCAGGGGTAGGGCCGGGTCAGCCAGTGGGTCTTCTCGTGTTGCCGGAGGGTGGCTGGGTCCTTGTAGCATTTCTCACAGCTTGAGCAGCGGTACGGCCGGATGAGGTCCCCCAGGCCAGGGCTGCTCTTGCCCACGTAGGGGCTACTCTGTTCAGCCAGTTCTCGGTGCAGCAGCTCCTCCTCGGTGTGGCTCTCCACATGGGCATTGAGCTGCTCTGAGCTGGGAAAGCCTTTCCCACAGGGAATACACACGTACAGGTTATCGCCCAGGTTCTCAGGCTCGAAGCTCATGTGTCCGCACTGTAACCGCTGCAGAGGCCCAGGGCCCAGGCCCAGGCCCAGGCCCAGGCCGTATGGCTCCTCGCTGCTCGTGTCCTCGCAGCTGCTCTTCTCGTCTTCGGCCTCGTCGCCAGCTGCAGTGCGATACCTGGGCCCCCCCGGGCTGGGCCCGGGCCCTGACCCTGGCCTGGGCCTCGCCTCTTCTGTGAACTGACTGGGCGGTTCCTGCTTCAGCCACTGACACAGAGCCTGGTCCGAGGGGTCAGGCCGGCTCTGGCTGTCGCTGCCTGGTGCCTGTCCTCCCCTGAAGCCGCTGCTGCCGTCCGGGGACAGCCCGTTGTCCCCATCCCCGGGCTGCAGAGAGGGGCCCGATAGGCCGTTACTGAGGAGGGAGCCGGCCTGGGGGCTGCTGTGTCCGGCCTCCTGTTCCCGCTCATCCCGGGGCTGGCTACTACCCCCCAGGGGGCTCCGCTTGGACAGGTCGAGGCCCAGCAGCTGCGGGGAGCCGTGTTCGGCCAGGCCCATGTCAGCAGCAGGGAGCCGGGAGCTCTGGGTCGGTGGGGGTGCATACAGCTCCCCGGCCTGGGTGTTGATGCTGTGGGCCGGCGGTGTGTCGAGCAGCCTGGAGCCCACCGAGTAACAGGACTGAATAACCGGGGTGCTGCTCCTCAGGCCCCGGCCCAGCTTCCCGTATGAGGAGAGGCCGAGGCCTAGGCCCAGGCCCAGGCCGGCCCTCATGTGAACATAGCTGCCGTTCCGCTTCAGCTTCTTCTTGCACAGAGCCACCAGGTCCGGCAGCTGCAGGTAACTGGCCGCCGCCAGGATAGCCCCCAGGTTCTGCTCATTACACAAGTCAGCCTCAGCTAAAGCCCCGGTGTAAATATAATCCAACACAGTCCGGAATAGAGCGGGGCTCACCATCTCCGGATCCAGGTTCACCAGGTTGTCGTGAACCACCAGGGATTTGAGGTAGACACTGCTGGCCGCCAGGATGTTCTTGTGGGCCCGGAACAAAGCGTTCTGTACCACAATGATCACATCGCAGAGGAAACCCTTGGTGCGCTGTCGGTTCAACTGTAGCAGGAGCTGCTTGGCGTGGTTGGGCATCTCCATGGGCTCCAGCATGGGCATCATGTCCCCACCTTCAACACAAAACACAGGCAACACACTCACTGACTGAAGGGCACCGCCCTCACCCCCCTCCAACACCGC